AAGGTTCATCACACTAAGCAGAATGATCCCTGGAAAACATCTGGCACGGTGGGGAAGCTAGTATTTTTATGAATGTGTGAAATTTCATGATTATGGAGGCTGACTATAACGAGACGATGCAGTCTGCTCATGCACTCTATGTTATTTGAGAACTGAGCCAGATCCCAACCCTACTAATGAACTAGTAGCATGTTAGAGCGGTTCAGGACGTCTGGCTCGGTTCGGTTCAGTTATGCGTACCATTTTACACTCAACAGTTATCTCGGTTACCGTGCTCAGACCAATGTCGTCATGGTTTCAGAGGAGTAGTGTAAATGGTGCTAAACACATAGGTTTTTTACCTTTGCGATGTCCAGGTGTTGCTCGTGACACTGGACAGCATTGGTGAAGTCTCCCAGCGCTGTGTAAACAGCACCCATGTCGCCCAGCTGGCGCGCCTCAGATAGCTGGCACTGGGTCTGCCGGGCCAGCAGGACACACTGTTTGTGGCTGGCCAGTGCGTTGGGGTAGTCGCCTATGGCTGTGTAAACATGGCCCAGGCTGCTGAGCGCTCCTGAGGCGGCCTGTAATCACACACAGTATGATCGATGAGAACTCATAAACAACTAAGCAGGCAACTTTTTTTTTACTGTTCTACTAAAAACAAAAAAAGAAACCAAAAAAACGTGTGGTTATTAGTGCTTACTAATACAATGCGTTATTGTAAGTCCAAATGCTGCAACAAAGTCCAACAAAGATTACAAGGTAAACAGTTAAAATAATAGATGAACGCTACTGTAAATAAGATGTATTCAATTCAGTTCAATTCAAAAACATGACTGACCTGCAGGAAAAAAACAAACAAAAAAAACTACAACTTAAAATGATGAATGCCTTGATAGATTGGAGTCAAATCCAACAAACTGCAAATCAAATAATCGATTTTTCTATTCATTTTTTGGGGGGTGATCATTATTTGACATTACAGAAATTGATCACCGCCATATACGGTCATATGAAAAAGTATGGGCACCTCAATCTTCATTATTTTTATTTCTAAATATTTGGGTGTTTGCAACAGCTATTTCAGTTTGATATATATAATAACTAATGGACACAGAAATATTTCAGTATTGCATATTTTCTGTTTGTCCAATAAACCTCAATTCAATACTGAAATATTACTGTGTCCAACAGTTATTATATACATCAAACTAAAATAAATGTTGCAAACACCTAAATATTTAGAAATAAAAATAATGAAGATTAAAAGGGATGCCCAAACTTTTTCGTATGACTGTAACAGCTCTAGTCGACACGATGATGTGTCCTAAATACTTAAAAATGTAGCGCAGATTGTTTAAGTAACTATAAACCGTGATAACAGTTTATTCTAGGCAATTTTAAACAAAGTGCTGATGCAAAGAATGAAGTAATAATGTCTTTAAACCAGTTTTAAAGGTGTGTTTTTGTCATTGTTATTAGTACATAAAGTCCTGGAACAATAGATGTCTTCTTCTTTTGCTTTCTTGTCACACAGAATAAATAAAACCCATACACCATCAAACAATTTAAATTATTACAAAGTCAAAAAGATCAACAGGATAAATTCAATAAGTAGTTAATATAATGATGATTTTGGTTATCAACACACAAAACCTATTTAAGCCAATTTGGCCATAGGAACAAGAGTAAGTACCGCCTAATAAACTGCTGAATCACCGTGGCAACAAGAACTGCCATCAAGTGAGTGATTCAGTTTATAGGTGTGTGTGTGTGTGTGTGGATGCACGCACTTATTCTGTCATGCAGTAGAGGCGGTGCATGCTTTTAGTAGCATTTAAGGGGTCTTAAATGTTTAGGGCAGCTGCTTAGAACCCTACCATCTCCTAGTCCTTCTGTATAAAAATGCTCTTTAGAGTCTGTATTCATGAATTTAATTCTCTACTGTGTCCATCCTTCAACCAGAGTATACCAGAGGGCCCATTTGGCCTCCAAGAACAATTGTTTGTTTGGGTTTTTAGAGTTTTGCTGATATAGACCAACATAACCTACATACAACGGCTAAATTACTCTTTTGTGTTCTAAATGTTGAGCCTTTAGCTTCTCCATTTTGATTAATCAATAAAAAAATATTATATTTCTAATTAATATTATTTTTTTTGTTACATTTTATTTTTAGTTTTTGAACAAGGGCCAAAACAAACAGGTGGGGGCTAGATCACAGTATATAGATCAGTATGTGAGTCACAAGAATAAAGATAAATATCCCATATAGACCAAAACCCAGGAGCAAGGTATACAACTAACGGTCAGGAGAGGCAGCCATATTTTCCAATTCACACAAGTAATTTGTTATCAGTTTGAGTAACTGTTGAGTAACTGTTCCAGATTTTTCCAATTTTTCCCAGAGTCTCTCTCCTTTCTCCTTCTGGAGGCACAATTACTATTAATATTTGATAATTAATTTAAAATGAAAATACAGAATTTCTCTATCTTCAGAATAGTTTTTTCTAATTCCACCATTTTCTATCCATTTTGTAAATATTAAATAAGAT